ACTGAAGCTGAGTATATGGCTCTAACTTCTGCAGCTAAGGAGTCTATTTGGCTCAAAGGCCTAGTAGGTGAACTGGGTATTGCACAGGATTTTGCTACAGTGTATTGTGATAGTCTAAGTGCGATTTGCTTAGCTAAAGATCAAGTACACCATGATCGGACGAAGCACATTGATGTCAGGTATCATTTCTTGCGTACTGACAAGAGGATTAAGGTGAAGAAGATTGGGACTGCTGACAACCCGGCTGATTTCTTCACTAAGCCTGTTCCGTTTAGCAAGTTTAAACATTGCTTAGACTTGCTAAATATTGATTACTACGTGATGTAGTAGGCCCTGAGGGGCGAAGTTGGGGAGCTCCTGGTGTAGGTGTGTTGGCATTAAGGTGGAGCTTGCCCGGGGCTTGTGATGCAGGTGGAGCATTATGAGTTGTTATACTTGGAGACGAGTATGTGATGGGTCTTGGTTGAAGACTTATCGGGATGTATGGCTTATGCATGAGTCCTGCATCGGGTTTGGCTTGAGATGTTTTTTCACTATGTCTTGATGGGGTCGTTTGCTGACTACGAGTTCTCGTCAAGGTGGAGATTGTTGATAAGTATATTAGGTGACTCGTACTTCGTAGCTTTGTCCGCCCGATCGGGCGGACATTGCCCGGTCTGACCGGGCGGAAGAAGAAGAGGTGCCTGGCAAATTCGTTGAAGAAGCTGCTCTCGCGCCCGACCGGGCGAGCCTTCGCCCGACCGGGCGAGCCTTCGCCCGATCGGGCAGACCTTGCCCGGTCTGACCGGGCGGTGGGGGTTGGATACGTTGAAGCATTCGTATGGAGTCTTCTTCTCGCGCCCGATCGGGCAGACCTTGCCCGGTCTGACCGGGCGGAGAAGGAAAAATGCGGAGACGCGGATTTTACGATTTAAAGTTATCTTTTATGTTATCTTTTTGCCCAAGTATCTTTTATTTTAGGGATTAATATAAAACCTCCCTAATATTAGTATTAGGGTTAAGAGAGAGAGAGTGAGAGCCGTTCTTGAGAAATACAAGAATCATCTTTGTAATCTTTGCAGTTTATAGTGAAATCATTCGATCTCGGTGCCCGTGGACGTAGCTATCACATCGATAGTGAACCACGTAAATTCTTGGTGTTGTTCTTATTGTTTGCATTGAATTTCTTTATTGTTTTCTTGTTTGTTTACGACCTTTGCTTCCGCTGTCGCACAACAATACAATTAGAAAAAAATGTTTAAACAAAGATGTTCCACCATCTTCAATATAGTGAAATAATTCTACATCTTTGCTATTCCCTTTATTTATGTTTTTTCTCGGAAGTTTATGGTACAACAATGAATTATGAATGTCTACATGTTTGCAACTAGGTACAAATATGAGTCATGAGGGTCTAACTTCATTTCCTTCTCTCTCTCTTCTTTTTTGCTTAAACCAACAACAAAGTTGTTGGGCCTATCTCAACTTTTATCTGTCAAGGTCCCCCATTGTGAATCTATTTCTAGATTTTCATGATCTTATTTTTCACATTGTCTGTTTCCATAACTACCGCATATGATATCATAGGTTAAAAATATCAACCAGTTAAATGTCTCATTTTTACATTGGTATTATAATAAAAGCTTTTTCGGTCCAGAATTTGCAATTAGAGAATGATAGAATCTAGGGGGATGGATATATAACGCCCAACTAACATTAATTCAGTTGATTGATATCTAGGTCATTTTATTTATTTGCATTTTGGATATTGATTTTAAGAATTGATCGATTTCACAAAAACTTGTTTAATTATATTCACATGTTAATTATACTGATAGAAGAAATGGGATTGTTGCTTGTTCCATCGCTTTGTATGTAAATAGAAGTACAAAACTTAATACAAGGCAATATTCCACGAGAAAATATCATCTCTGAAACGATATAATTAATAAGCGATGATCATAAATGTATGAGTGAAATATTAACCATTTGGGTTTTGGAGAGGAAAATGAGGTAATAGAGTTTGATTTGAGGAGCTAAATTATGGCACTTCTTAATTGCTAATATCATTTCGTTTTATGAATTGTGATGCCTTAAGTATTGACTAAAGTCCTACCTACTCAAGCAAGAAGTTATGTGTTTAAACAAAATTATACTCAGTACAATATAGTATTTATATCACAATGTCTTCTTGTTTTGTTTGATACATATAAACTTGTGAAAAAGTAAATAGTCAAAATTATGAATAACGTGGGAATTCATGCATCTTACATAAATGTTTAATTGTTGTACATGGAAGAGACTGATTGAAGATCAGATGAACGTATACGATACAGATAGAGAGACAAAGAGAAGAGAGAGGGTGTGTTTATGTATTATGAATGTATAGAGATTCACTTAAATCCTTAATTAGTGCTTAATCTAACCTATTTTCCTAACTTTTACATTAAGAAAGTCTTATGTTTGAAGGAGTGACACTCGATTAAGCATGTTGCAAGATGGTGCCCTATACAAAATGAAGTTCTAACTTGGATACGATGATCTATCCATATTTAGGCTGAAACTCGAGTGAACTTTTGATTTTTCTAATTAATAGTGAGCAATTTAAGATATTAATTAACCTCTCTTCAACTGTTTTTCTCTTAAACATAAATGATCTTAAATGATGCCAAAAGCTTAAGAATAATCGGTAGTAACAAAAAACCAATCATCTTTTGAACTTTCGGATAAATAAGGTGATCGGTTTTAGCCATTCCAACACGTAAGACAAGCTAAAAAGACTTTGATGACTTCCCTAGCCATCATGAGACCGAATTCATACTTCCTATGTCCCTAAAATCTAACTTATTTCACAGTTTGTCTTTTAAAGCTCATTTCATTGCCGAAAAAACATAATTTCTTATTTGGATTGGGATGTATCATCCACTAACAACTTTTTAGTCAATTTTAATCAACAATATCTTCTAATCCCACTATAAATTCTTAAATGTTCTCCAAAGAAGACAAAGTTTTGTCCAACTTACCTTATTTACATTTATTATAGGAATTTAATTAGATAAGTATTAATTATAAGTTTAGGGAAAAAAAATCTTTAATAAGACTATACTACGGAGTACTAAATTAATTTTTAATATATTCAGATAAGTTCTAATAAATTAGAATAAGTTTAAATAAACTCAATTAAAATCAAATTAAAGCCGTCCAAATAATTGAAAATGAGGTGAACACATTGCGCCTTATACTATTCTCACCATTTTCATATATTTTTCAATCTTCATTAACTATATTCTCATAGCATTCCTCCCCCATGCCTGGAGGAAAAAAAAAGACCTTTTGGGATATCTCCAGAGTATAAAATATTGTCGTCATCAATTACATGTTATCTTCAGTTCTTCACTATAAAAATATGAGTATATATGTTTGAATCAAAAATAAAAGTTTTAATAAGTATAAAATAATTTTAAGTCTTGATATGTAAATTATCGTGTTTTTCTCTCTCAATCCCTAACATTCATTTTTTTTTTGGTGGGAAATTCTATTGGTTTCTACTTTCTACTGGAGAAAAGCCACAATTTTTTTAGTTTTGTTTTGTTTTGTTTTGTTTGTAGGTTTTCTTAATAATTATTTCTCCTTTTAAGATTTCACCGTGATAAATAAGACATTGTCAGTTTATTATCCTATTTGTTAGAGAGACATATTTTCCTTTTCACTTTATAGGATCATAAATATGATGGGTTATTGAATTATTAGTTCATCGATAAGGATTCAAATATGATCACATTTGATGTGTTATCATGTTAGAATAAGATTGTGTTTTCAATTCTACCGATTAAAATTAGGATGATATCTAAAATGTGAGATCTGAGATGATGTTTATTAATTTTCTCAACGCGGCTCTTTTTTCACCAAAATTAATAATCAATCAAACCACATTCCAAATTTTGTTTATCATATTTAATTAGGCTATATGTTTAATCACATTTCAAATAAACATGTTTCAACAAAAAAAAAAAAAAAAAACCTAATAAGCTAAAGAATTATTAGAAGAAAATGTTTTATTTGGTAAAAAAAAAAAAAAAAAAAAAAAAGACATACACTCCAAATTTACTTTGTATGTAATTTAATATAATATAATTTAATAGACTAATAATCAAATCCCAATGTAGAGTGTGTGTCCATAAGAAAGTACAATTAAAACTTGTTTAGATTGACAGACACTTTAAAAAATGGCAGGGCAGGGCAGGACTTATCTAATACAGTGTCCAGCACCTGAAATATGTGCCACTTTTGCAATGCAATGAAGCAGGAGCCTCCCAGAGCTAGCAGACCACCGCACCAGCTCAGCTCTCAAGTCTGAATAACTCACTTTAACTTACACCCCAACACCATTATTTGACTGCCCCCACACGTGTGTATTTACTTCTTCACATGACTTTTCCATTGGAGCCTACTACTTGCCCTTCCTTACTAGACTTGTTTGTAGGCCTCTTTTTTCTTATTTTTATTCCTTAATTTTGTCCCACTTACCATTTTTTTTTATTAATTTTTTTTATAAAATTTGAGAAAGAGAAATAAATATCATGCCTAGAGGTTTCAATTCGTATGACTAGATTGAGACTGATGAGATCGGGTCGGATCAAGTTAATTTTAAATGTTGAGTCATGGTGAATTATTATATCCTCCCGAGTCTAAATCTGAATCGGATATCTTTTAGATTGGTTTTGGATTGAGTTGGATGTGCTTTTGACACCTCAAATCATGCCAATGAAAATTTGAAGTGCTTGAATGCCTAGAAACTAACTAACTTGTATAATGTGAACAATGTAATTTGATTATATATGGTGGACATTAAGAATTGAGAAGAAAATAAATAAATAAATTGAGTTTTCATTGATTAATGTCTAACCATTTATCTAACCTTATATCAATTATGAGGAAATTAGGTTGAAATAGATTATTGCGAATATACCTAATTAGTAGTAATATGACAACTAAATCTGAATAGATGAAGTGATCAACATTATCTGAAATTCTCCAACAAGACGAGTTGAAGTAGCTTAATTGAAAATACTCATAAACAACTCAAAATATTGAGCATAAAACTTACATATTACCTTTATTAACCTAATTAGAAGAAAAAAAATTAGAAATTTTAATCTCATTTACATTAACAATTAACTTGAAAAAAACTAAAAGAAGTCAAGCTTTGAAGAAGGATTAATTAATTAATTAATCTCATCATTAGCAGCGCAAAATAACACACACTCACTTTCCATTAAACCTTAATTCGTGTTCAAATTATCAGTTGATTGAGCTAAGCTTAGGCAATAGCTAAATTAAATTAACAAATTAAATGACATAAATAAGTAAGTATATAAAATAAATAAACTAAAAATTTACTAATATTACAAATGAAGATCTAAACTCACTTGATCACTACTATTGCGCCGTACTTGATTTTGATGACTAGAAGAATTCATCAAACTCATGTTCATATTCATATTCATATTAACATTATTGGTACCACCTTTTAAAGAAGTAGCTGAATTACTGTCAATGCTACTACTAAACCCCGGAGAATGATGAGATCCACCGATCAAAGGGTGGTGCAATGGACGGTCACGATGAACTCCGCTCGAGGCGTAACTGCTGTGATGAAGGTGATGGCTGGTTTGATGGAGGGATGAATGCGAATGGACTGCGGAAGGGATTCGCCACACGGCGAGTGGACTTCCGTTTATCGTAGGCGGATGATGTGGTGGTTGGTGGTGGTGGTAGGCGTATCTAGGGTTATTGGTGGGGGTGTTTGTGTTTGAGAGTGATGTAGGGTAGTAAGAGTTGTTAGCGCGATTTGAGTAGCTGTTAGCTAAGCTGTAGAAGTGGTGGTGGTGGTGCGTAGGGTCCACCGTCATCATGGCGGACTGAAGGTGGGCCCGCTTAGCGTGTTGCCGTTCGCGCTTGTGAGCATTTTGGTGGCCTCCTAAGGCTTGGGAAGTAGGGAAGTTTCTACAACAATAGTGGCATTCAAATTTTCTACCACTTTCACTACTAGTATTATTGTTGTTGTTGTTGATGTTGTTGTTGTTGATGTTGTTGGCTTCCTTGTTACTAGTAGAAGTATTGAGAGAGTTTATGTTATTGTTTTTATCTTTAGAGGTTTCGAGATTGTTGCTGTCTCCGGAGTCGGAGTTGTCGGTGGCGGTGGTGGAGGAGGAGGAGAAGTCTATGCCGAAGAGGCGGATGCCAGAGGCGATGGAGGAGGAGGAAAACTTGGTGGTGCTGGTGGTGGGAGCGGGCCGAATGAAGGGGAGTTGAGAGAAGGAGTCTACGTTCATGAAATCATGAGTTTGATCTAGGGAGCTTGTTGTAGTTGTAGTTGTGGGTGTTGTTGGTGTTGCTACTGCGTTTTCCATTATTATAAAGGGAATGGATTTATAATGAATAATTTGTTGGTTTTTTTAATTGTTGGGGTTTAAAGGGTTATTATTATTTGGGAAGAGGAAGGTGAAGTTTGAAGTTGTTGAAATAGAGAGGAAAAAAGAGGGGGGTTGGAAGAGAAGGGATTAAAGGAAGCAAATGTGAAAGAAAGAGGGAGTAGAGGAGACTATGTATGTATGTGGAGTTGGCGTGGTGGTGGAAGGAGAAGAGGTTAAATGGTGGGGTCTAAGGAAGCTAAGCTAATGGTAAGTTGTATAGTACAATTTGCATGCATGGGGCCTCTTGTCTATAAAATGGGGTTATTTTCATAAAATTCATAAGAAAATACTCATATACAATTGAGTTTTAGAAATGGTGAAAAAAAAAGTTTTTTACCACTTTCATAAAAAAAAGTTTTATTTTAGCATCACATAAAAAATTAAATTGTCTTTTTACTACCAATTACACCCAATTAATTTCGTCTATAAATCCGTTAATGGGGTCTATCATGTACACGTGTCACCATATTATTAGGTGTAAAAAAAAAAATAAAAGATAGAAAATAAATAAAATCAAAATCATTGCATCCAAGCTAGCCACAGCCGCCAGTACACCTTTTGCAGCCCCATCGCCGGACCAGCTCTCAAGTGCCCACAGCCGGTCCGTTTCTGGCAACCCCCTTCCCCCTCCTTGCTGGCAGCCCCTCTTGCCTTCTACTTCCGTCAGCCTCTCCTCCTCCTTTCCCCTTTCCTTTTTACGACCACCGACCTCGCCTACTCTTTCTCCTTCCTTTCTGACCTCAAACTTCGATCCCCTTCCCTTCTGACCCCTTCCCACCGAATTCCGATCTCTTTTCTACCTACCGAATTTCGAACACTTCTAAAACCCTAGCCACCACCTTGACCCCCTGCCTAGCCACCACCAAAATCCGACCCCTCCATAGCCCTACACGAAATTCTGACCAACCGAGGTGGGGTTGATTTCGTTCCTGATTGATTGGCATGGAAGTTAAGGGGAGATAAAGAGGAAATGTCAAAAAGGTGGGCCCTACTAACATATTCATGGACGTAATCCGTTAGTTAGTGGTAAAACCTAATTTTTGAAAACTTTGTTGGTGGTAAAATACAAACTTTTTTAAAGGAGGTGGTAAAAGCCAATAAGTGATTTTTTTTTCATGGTGGAAAAAGTCAAAATTTTCTAATATAAATCAAATATAATCGATCCTGTTGTATCCGGGTCGAGAAACTAATTTTTTCTGGTTTTGGGTCTTGTTTTCGATCTAATTGAAAACCCTACCAAAATTATTAATATTATCCGTAATAAATTTGAAAATTTTAATTTTATGAGCTTATTTGAAATATATTTAAAAAGAAAGTCATTTAAAAAAGTTTCCCTTTTTTCGTTTGAGTTTCTCCGTTTTTTAATAAGTGTTCCATTTTCTTTGTTTAGCTAAAAATTACATTTAAAAATATTTCCTCTCTTGGTCCCCACCTAAATCTATTTCTACTTTTTTTTTAAAAAAAAAATTGTTCCTTTTCTCTCACATTCAATAGTTTTAAAAAATTGTTTTAATAAAGTATCAACCCCACTATCTTTCTTTTACGATTTTTCAATACTCTAACTACCCAACATTTCTCTTATTTTATTAAACTTAATTAAATTTCCTATAACTATGTGTCAGTCAAAGTGTAACACTTATTAAAACACCAAGAGAGTAACATTAATAATTTTTTTGATATTTTGCTTAAAAATCTTAAAATTGGTCCAAACCAGTTCGGTTCGGGTTTTAGATTGATTTTTCTAGTCCAGTCCTTGCCTATTCGACGTGGTCTCCAATTTTTATAACTTAACTTTTCAGTTTTCGGCCTGCTCCAGTCTTGGATCAGTGAACAACCCTAAATATAAGTATTTTTTAAGTTCAAATCAAATTTCATACATTCAAAATTATAGGAGGAAGAGTCCACCAAACAAGCTTGATGGAGTTGGTGGCAAACTCGCCTTGTGACTTTAAGCATACAAATTCAAGCCCTACTTTTCTACTCTCAAGTGTTAACCTGCAAAGTTGAGCTAGTTAAACTTGTGAGATGTGGATTAGTCCTTCATCTTACCTAAAAAATGAGGAGTCCGTCTTATTATAATTAAGATGTTTAAATCTTTTTTTATTTTTTTGTTGAAATGGGATACTCATATGCTTTGTTTAAAAAGATTGTGCTACAAGCTACAACAATGATAAATGCAAATATGTAGTAGAGAATTAAATCTATAATTAAGTGTAATGTATTACACAATATTGATCACTTATAAATGTTTATCACTACTATAAAGATTTATTTTCTATCATTTTGAGGTCTTAATTTAGTGTTAAGAGTCGTGAATTAAGTCTCCATTTAGAATACTATTATCATTTATATTAATGTTGCACTCTTCATCTTTAATTTTACTTATTAAATCCTAGTACTTGGAAATTTCATTAAACTTAATGCTACGAGATTATTTATTAATTAGTTGATTAAATTGCGTTAGTAATTGCTCCCACCATAATTTAAAGTAACCAGATAATTAAATACCTTTACAAAACTATATAAGCAAAGAAAAATTGAAATTAATAGTCCCTCATTTGCTTCATCTTCTTAAAACAATCTCACCTTTGCATATTCTAGAAACAATCCCACCTTAATGTAGGACTTTTAATATTCTAAGAGGAATTGCATGAATCATATTCATATACTACCTCCGTTACATATTAGTTGCAACTTTGGAATATTTTATCTCTCACAAATATTGCCCAAAGTTGCAACTAATATGTAACGGAGGTAGTACATTTAATTACCAAGGTCATTGCATAACACATAAAGAACCTATAATTATACCTTTGAAGCGTGATTCCACGTGTGATCGAGCAAGAACAATAAGGAGAACAAGAACCCCAAGCATGATTCCTCTACTTGGTCCACGGGCACAAATTGAACCTCCACTAATGCTAGTTAGTTGTGATTGAACCTTTCAATCAATCTTCTACGAGGAGGAGAGGAGACAAACGAGCCACGAACCATCACCACCACCACCGTGCGCCAGTGTCTGTACTATACGGAAAAAAGGGGGAGGAAGAGAAAGGCGTGTGAGAGAGAGGGGTTAGGGTGTTTGGTTGCTTGCTTCACAATTTACTATATGAAACTACACTAGCTCTACTCCTTACATGACTTTTCATTACCTCATGAGGCCCATCAATGGCCGCACACTTGTTCAATCCAATACCGTTGTGTGTGACCTCATAGGATCCATTATATTGGGTTTTGGACTATTTGACTAGACCAAAGATCATTTATCATATCTAGCAATAGACAATGACGACCTAAGAGAATGAACTAATTATCTCCATAATAGTGATCCTTGATATATCTAGTAATTGCACTTGACGAAAACATAATTCCTTCACTTAACACCCCATATTCTCAAAACAAGCCTTTTACCTGTTAGTGAAATCGGTAACTTTTTTAGAGGGTATTTTGTTAAGTATTGCCTTTTACTTCCTTCGTTCTTTATTACTTGACATGTATTCCTTTTTAGGAAGTTTATTTTTACTTGAAATGCATTCCCTTTTATGAAGTTTATTTTTACTTGACATGTTTCCTCTTTTGGTAAATTTAATTTAATAATCTACTTTTACTTATTTACCCTCACATTTTGAAGATAATTAAAACCATATACCCTTTCTAACCATACCCCCTTCTCTCTCACCTCAATCATTCAACCTTCTTAATTCTTCATAGTTCACTAGACCACCATATCCTCCCTCCACCCTCCGAGTTATCCATGTCATCCACCCATCTCCACCACCCAACAATTGTTTTTGAAACACATTCGCAAAACATCAATCATCACCCTTATCTACCTCTTCACCGTCGATGGTCTCAAACTCTTCCCCTCACACCCTCTCTCGTCACCTCCACCACTCTACTGTGCCCTGTGACCACCTTAATTTGTAAAAATGCTTGAAGTTCATCAAAAATTGAGGCCATGGTGGTCAAATTTGGCTAGCAATTGTAGATCTGAAACGACCATAGCCAATTTCGACCACCAATAAGCTCTTAATTCTGAAATTCTTCTCAGGGACGGTGGTTGATGAAGTGTGGGTATTTTCTCTCTCCTCTCGTTCCTCTATTTTTGTGGTGGTATGTACGATGATACATATGCGATTTGTCAAGTATGAACAGGGTTTGGTGGTTATGGTGGTGGCATAAGGGGATGTGGTGGTGGAGTGAGAGGTTACTGCTGGGAATATTTCAAGCATTATCCCTAGCTTGAACCCCACTGTGATCATACACTAAAGTACGGTGGCGTCCAAAGGGAAAGAAGATAGAGCAAAAGAGTCGCCAACAAGTTTTTTAGGAACTTGTAAACCGTTCATGAGGTGAAGGTTACACCCCTTAACGATCCAAGAGATCGTCAACTCCATAAGGTATTGAACCAAATAGGGTTCGGGGATGAAGGTACAAATCCAACCTAAAAGAGATTGAACCTGCCCTAATAATAGGCCTCTACTTTATTCTGATCGTATTCATGTGCGCTTTTTGACTAACATACAATCAATAAGATTAACCCTAAACTTGTTTAATCTATGTTGGTTGAACATTAATGCACAAATAAACTATTATTGGCGATCACTTGAATTATAATCATATTAACCCTAAACAAGATTATTATTTATCTTATTAAGCGTGATCACAAGTACAAATTCCCGTTAAACATGCATAAAAGGCGTGATAAAGCAATAAATAGCAAGCAACATAATATTCAATTAACAATAATAATAGTTATAATAATCATAAATTATAATCATAATCAAAACAATTATAAAATATAATCATGAATCATGTTAAAGCATAAAAATAGCAAAATCCTAGGCATGATACTAACAAGATTAATAACAAACCCTAGCATGTCACTAAACAATAAAGATCAAAGTTTTAGCCCTAACATGATACTAACAATCATAAATATTAGGAAGAAAATAAAAGGCATCATACTTTTAATCATACTTGATATTAAAGTTACCCTAAACATCAAACTAAGGAAAACATCCTAACATGATACTAGGAATCATAATAACAAACTAAGCATGATTTCTACATAATAACATCAATAAAAACTATTAAAGTACTTACTTGGATGCCTCGTACCTCTTTCAAATAACAAAATACACACGTTAGTAACTTCAAGGAAAATAATAAACAAAACAATTAAATTAAATAATTGAAATAAAGATTTGGGACCAAACCCTCATAAATTAAACCTTTCACGTCTAGGGCGAAGGCAACTTCGAATATGGCTAGGTGTTTCTAAATATAATGAGTGCGAAATTTTTATATTTGAGAGAAGCTAGTTTAGAAAAGAGAGAGAGAGTAATCAAGAGAATCTTGATGAGAGTTGGTGAATGAAAACGGAGTTTTTAGGAAGCTATTTATAGAGAAAATCAGCCAAAAAGATAAAACATCAAAAACAGAGTTCCGACGCATAAAATCAAATTAACGCCAAACGCTGACCTTAGCGCCAGACGCTAAGGGTAGCGCCAGGCGCTACAGCTGGCGTTTGGCGCTGACTAAGAAAACGATGTGTTTTCTTAAAATCAGATAGAAATTGCCGTACAGGAGGATAAGATTGTATTTTCCTCAGAAACGTTCTTTGATTTTAATTAAAACTCTAAAAAGTCAATTTATCAATGCTAATTAAATTAGGAATGAAAAGAACCTTCTAGAAGAATCTAGAAGACTAAAACCATTCCTAATTTTATTAGGAATGATAAATTCATATCAGGCCCTCCTCTAGATCATTGGGCCGCATATTAGGCTCAAACCAGGCCCAGTTCAGTAATTTGGCCATAACTTCCTCAATATTCATCGGAATCGGGCTTATAATATATCGTT